ATAAAAACCCTGAAAACCATACATTTCACACCTGAGCCTCAACTCTCGCGGCCCGGTACCAAACGACTCACGGACCGGTACCGGTCCGAGGCCCGGGGGTTGGGGACCGCTGATCTAGTATGTCTGTAGTAGGTGTATACTTGATAACCCTAGGCTGGCTACAGTCTTTTAACATAGAAGTTCTCAGCTCTAAGCGATGTTGTTTTTTCTCAGTTAGTCTTTGCAACATTAAATGGGGTTTGGATTTGTAAGTAGTTACACTACACTCACTGGCCACTTCAGTAGGTACTTCTGAAACTGCTCAGTAACATAACTATCCAATCAGCGAATCACATGGGAGAAACGCAGCGCATTTAGGTATGTAGACATGGGCAATACGGCCTGCTGAAGTTCAAACTGAGCATTAAAATAGAGAAGAAAGGTGCCTCAAGTGACTTGGACCATGGCATGCTTGTTGGTGTCAGACAGGCTGGCCTGATTATTTCAAAAACTGCTCATTTAAAGTAGAGAAAATATCCAGTAAGCAGCACCCCTCTGGGTGAAATTGAAAGGCGACAGTAACTCAAATAGCAACTTGTTACAACCAAGGTATGCAGAAGAATATACTCTTAAAATAGATGGACTGGTGAAACAACCAATTCAGCATCATAGATGTACAGCTGACAAATCTGCAACAACTGTGTGCTAGCTGTGCTATCTGGTCAATATGAACCAAAGTCTCTGAGGAACATTTCCAGGACCTTGATTAATCTGCGCCACAAAGAATTAAGGCAGTTCTGAGGGGAAAAATTGTGGCCTCACTGATAATTAGAAATATCTAGCCCTTTCTTCTTTTCTGCCCCATAGGGTTATAATACTGAGAAAGCTGGAGATAAATAATGATTATATGCTATACAAATTCCTGTGTTGGCCAGCAGCACATTATTTTTCTGTTTACATGAAGTTTGAGTTTTGACGTATGATCACACCTCACTTTCTTTTCCTGTTTTTAACACATCACACAAAGCTACACTCAGATCTGTGTGAATGGATGGCTCTGAATGGATCGGTGTGGTTAATGAGTTCAGTTCCTCTCTGCATTTATCTGTAATTAAAGCCTCCAGTGTTCTCATTACAGCAGCCGTTTGGGCTCTAGCCTCTTTTTTACATTGGGAATTAATAAGCTAAATATTACATTCCCTTTTTTTGATTAAGAAATTTCCAAGGCAAACTTAGACATATAACCGAATTTGTCTTGTTAATTTTACCATTTGCTCTATCCGTCCCATGATTAATGATTTTCCACACCCAGCTTAGGAGTTCTTTTAACCAGGCTTTAAATGTATGCGTGTTGAAGCAGTGTACATGAAGCCTACAAAAAGACAAATCACCAAGCTGGTCTATAAACAGCTTCAAGGGCTGAGTTTTAGCTAATACGCAAGAGAGCATATGTAGGAATTGGTGCAGGTTTAATTGCCATTCCCAGACTTTATATATAACACACAGTCACATCACCCATTTTGTTGCGTTTGTGGAATTACATTTTGAAGCACCAAGTTTAAGCACTTTGGCTGTGGCTGTCGTTTGGAGCCTGGAGTGACCTTCTTAATGATTAACACCTTGAAAACCAAGGACATGGTTATTGATTTCAGGAAGTCATCCCCTCATCCTGCGCTTAC